TTTTTCTTGTTACATCACCAGGCTCCTAAAAGGATTTGAACTTAAGACTCAAATTCAGAAGTGGTAGAGTGCTTGCCTAGTATGCATGAAGCTCTGGATTCAATTCCTCAGTACCACATAAACAGAAAAGGCTGGAAGTGGCGCTATCCCAAGTGGTAGAGTGGCTAGCCTTGAGCAAAAAGCAGCTCTGGAACAGTGCCCAGGCCCTAGTTTAAGCCCCAGGACTGGCCAAAAAAAGAACAGGTTTGAAGTGAAGTTTTGGCTCAGTGGTAGAGCAAATACATAGCATGCCACATACACAGCATGTTCAAAAGACACACAGAGAGACACTAAGGTGAAAAGCACGGTGATAGAACATGCATGAGGCACCCCAAGTGCTAGTGACTCAGGTGGCTGAGATCTGAGTTCAAAGCCAGCAGAGGCAGGAAAATCCTTCAGATTTTTATCTCCAATTAACCACAAGACAACCAGAAGTAGAGCTGTGGCTCAAAGTGGTAGAGTGCTAGCCTTGAACTGAAATGCTGAGGAACAGCGCCCAGGCCCACAGTTCCACCCTGACGATCAACAACAACAAAAAAGAATAAGGGAGCCAGGCACCAGTGGCTCAGGCATGTAATCCTAGCTACTAAGGAGACTGACATTTGAGGATTGAGGTCCAAAGCCAGCCCGGGCAGGAAGATCTGCAGGAAAGTCAGTGAGATTCTTATCTCTGATAAACCACCAGAATACCCGAAGTAGCTCTGTGGCTCAAGTGGGAGAACACTTGCCTTGAGCTGAAGAGGTCAGGAATAGTGCCCAGGCCCAAAGTTCTCAAACTCTATGACCGGGGGAAAAAAATAGAAGGGAAAATGACATGATAGTGAGGTTAATGGTTCACACTGTATGCATTATGAAAATGGTCCTGAGTGCAAGCCTCACCAGCACACACACTTACATACAAAAACCCTCACCATTTGCCGATATTCCTGAATCATTTTTAGTTTGTTTTCTCCTCCCTTGTTTTCTTCTTTCTGTTCGATGCTGCTAATTATTCTCCAGGAGGCTCTTCTAGCTCCAATCACATTTTTATATGCAACAGATAGGAGATTTCTTTCTTCAACTGTCAGCTCCACATCCATCCCTGCTACTTTCTTCATTGATTCCACCATTTCTATGTGAGAAAGGGAAAACCAGATTGCACAAATTTTAGATGTTTTGTTAACATATCCCTTTCACAGTACTTTTTCCCTGTTATGATAATACAAAAAACAATGTATAAAATTTAACAAAAATTGTGTCTATACCTTTATGCAATAGTTCAATGAGCCCTGAGTTCAATCCCCACCACCCCAGAAAAAAAGTTATTTAAAAACAACTGGCTAGGCACTGGTGGCTCACGCCTGTTATCCTAGCTACTCAAGAAGCTGAGATCTAAATAAGCATTGTTGTTCAAAGCCATACTGGGCAAAGTTCGTGAGGCTCTTATCTCCAATTAACCACCAGAAAAATCAGAATTAGAGATATGGCTCAAAATGGTAGAGTGCTATCCTTGGTCAAAAGTAGCTCAGGGACAGTGCCAAGCCAAGGCCCTTAGTTGAAGTCCCATGACTGACAAAAAATATTAACTTGAGCCAGGTGCTCAACCTCTACTGGCTACTCAAGAGGTCAAGAAATGAGGTTTGAAGCCATCCATACAAATCCAAGAAACTTTTTTTGTGTGCTGCTCCTGGGGCTTTTGCACTCAAGGTTAGCCCTACCACATGAACCAGTCTATTTCTGGCTTTTTGGTGGTTAATTGGAGACTTTCTTACATGAGCTGGCTTTGAGCCTCAATCCTCAGATCTCAGCCTCCTGAGTAGCTAGAGTCACAGGCTTGAGCCGCTGATGCCTGGCAAGAAATTAGTCTCCAATTAACCAGGTGGAGAAAAAAGGCCAGAACTGTTGTCCTGGCTCAAGTGGTAGCACTTCAGCCATGAGTGAAAAAGCCCGATGAGAGCCAGACTCTCAGAGTTCAAGATCCAGTACAAGCCGGGCACCAGTGGCTCATGCCTGTAATCCTAGCTACTCAGGAGGCTGAGATCTGAGGATCAAGGTTCAAAGCCAACCCCAGGCAGCAAAGTCCATGAGACTCTTATCTCCAATAAACCACTCGAAAACCAGAAAGGGCATTATGGCTCAAGCGGAAGATTGCTAGCCTCGAGCTGAAGAGCTGAGGAATAGCGCCGAAGCCCAGAGTTCAAGCCCCAGGACTGACAAAAAAAAAAAAAAAAGAAGATCCAGTACAGAACAAAACTAAAAAGAATTCAAAACTATCCAAACTAATTTGAGATAGCCAGACAGGGTGACATGTACCTGTAATTCTAGCACTTACCTAGGAGATTGAAACAGGAAGATTATAAGTTCAAAGCAGCCTAAAATACACAGCTAGACCCTAGCTAAAAGTAAATTAAGAAATTAAGCAGAAAATAATATAGTAAGTACCTAACAAAGAACCAACTACCCAATATGTTTTAGGTAGCCAGATGTGGAACACCTGTAATCACAGCTACTCAGAAAATGGAGACAAAAGTGATTTGAGACCAGCCAGAGCAAATCTGGAGACCCTATCTTAGTAAGAATACAAAGGGGTTGGCATAAGTGGTAGAGCACTTGCCTAGCATGTTTTTTTGTTTGTTTGTTTTTTGCCAGTCCTGGGCTTAAACTCAGGGCTAGGGTACTGTCCCTGACCTGCCTTTGCTGAATGCTAGCACTCTACCACTTGAGCCACAGTGCTACTTCTGGCCTTTTCTATCTATGTAGTACTGAGGAATAGAACCCCGGGCTTAATGCATGCTAGGCAAGCACTCTACTACTAATTCCCAGCCCCACCTAGCATGTTTTGAGGCTCTGGATTCAATTCCCAGTACCAGGGTTGGGGGAGAATACAAGACATGGATCAAGAAGACTTCAAATGACGTCTAGTATTATACTATAATTTGCAAGTATATCTCAGGTTAAAACAGTCTCTTATTTCCTTGAACAAATTAAATTGCATTAAGCAAAAAAAAAGCGAAGTTAGCCGGGTGCCAGTGGCTCATGCCTGTAATCCTGGCTACTCAAGAGGCTGAGATCTGAGGATCACGGTTGAAAGCCAGCCCTCAAGACTTTTATCTCCAATAAACCACTTTAGAAAACCGGAAGTGGCCCTGTGGCTCAAGTGGTAGAGTGCTCACCTTGAGCTCTTCAAGTCAGAGTTCAAGCCCCACGACCGACCAAAAAAAAAAAAAAAAAAGCTCAAAGTATGGCTCAGGTTTAGACTATATGCATAGCATGTGCTACGCCTTCAATTCCCAGTACTTAACTAAAGACATGGGAGCAAAGATTCACTCACAACTAAATATAGTTAAGTACCTGTCCTACCAGTAATTTACTGATAAATCTTTTGCTGGTTACTGTTACCACTAGGTGGCGATCAATTAAAGGGGACCAGATAATCATCAGGCTATATCCCCTAGATAGCAAAATATAAATTAAACAGAGTAGGTTTGAAAATATGCTTTTAGCCAGGTGCCCATGACTCACACTCCGGGGGCTGACATCTGAAGATCACCTGCAGCAAAGTCGATTAAGACTCTCATCTCCAGGCTGGGAAGGTGGCTCAGTGGTAGAGGCTTGCCTTATATGCATAGGCCCTGGGTTTGATTCCTCAGCACCATGTAAGCAGAAAAAGCTGGAAGTTGCACTGTGGCTTTAATGGTAGAGAGCTAGCCTTGAGCTGAAGAGCTGAGGGACAGCACCCAGGCCGAGAGTTCAGGCCCCATGACCAACAAGAAAAAAAGACTCTCATCTCCAATAAACTACTCAAACCCAGAAGTGGGGCTATGGCTCAAGGGGTGGAGTGCTAGGCTTGACCAAAAGAGGCTCAGGGACAGCGCCCAGGCCCTGAGTTCAAGCCCCAGGACTGGCAACAACAACAAAAAAAAAAAAAAAAAACACCTAGACACAAGTATATAATGCTAACAGCATTTTAATACGGTTAAACCTCTAAGTAACATCCTTCTTATTGCTGTGCTTTACAAATTTTCAACTATATTTTGACATCAACAAAGCAATGTGCAGAACCCTTCTGCTACCACTACCTGTAGATCACACAGGAGGTGCTCCTCTTTGCATTTTCTATTCTTATTTTCCTTACTATTAAAATTAGGGTGGGAGAGCCAGGCAGAGGTGGCTCACTCCTACTAGCTAGTCAGGAGGCTGAGATCTGAGGATCATGATTCAAAGCCAGGCATGGCAGGAAAAGTCTGTGACTCAAGTGGTAAAGCCTTGAGCTGAAGAGCTGAGAGACAGCCCCAGGCCGAGTTCAAGCCCCATAACCGACCAAAAAAAAAAAAAAAAGCTCAAGGGCAGCACACAGGATGGAGTTCATGGCCTAGAACTGGCAAACCTACCACGGTTGCCCAAAATAAAAGCTTTACCAATAAAATTTACATACATAACAGTGCATCCAGTTACAACATACATTTTTCTTAATAAGCTACAAATTCTCTATCACAAACAATCTAAAACAATGACTCCCAAAAGAAAATCCCCATATCCTTTAGCATTATGTCTCACTTATTCCCAAACCCAACCAATTTTTTAATCTATTCTGGATATTTAATATAAAGGGAATGTATATGTATGTGGCCTTAGGGTGACTAGCTTCCAAGGTTCATCCACAGTACATATGAACAACATACCAGTTTATCCATTCACCAATTACTGATGACATTTGGGTATTTCCACTTTGTGACAATTATGAAATGCTGCTGTGAAAATTCATATAAATGTATGGCTGTATCAGAGCCTGAGCATGACCTTCAGAGTCAAGGAGTAACATTTTGAAGGTCATAGTTTTCTACTTATATTCCTATCAGCAACATTTTCATTCATTCTCTTTTTTTTTTAGTCAGGAATGGGGCATGAACACTGGGCCTCAGATCTCAAGGTTAGCGTTTAGCGTTCTACCACTTGAGCCACAGCACTTCTGGCTTTTTCTGTTTATGTGGTGCAGGACCTCATGCATGTGAGGCAAGCACTCACACTAAGCCACCATCCCAGCCCCCTCCTGATTCCTTTTTTTTTAATTTTTATTTTTTGTGAACATACTGTACAGAGGGGTTACAATTACATGGGCAAGATAATGAGTACATTTTTTAATCAAGCATTGCAGCCTCCTCCTTTGTTTACCCTTCATATCCCTTCCAGGCCTCCCCCTGTCTCCCCAACCCTCCCCTCCCCCGGCACCAAAAGTTGTAAAGTTCGTTTTCAACATGACAATTTGTACTTCTCATAGTTGCAACGGGTCCACCTGTATCCTTAAACGACTTGTTTTTCCCCATCTCCTCCACAAATTATACCAACATCAAATATAGTGAAAGCAGGGGTTATACTGTGGGGAAGGGACATCTGATTTCTTAATTGTGTTTTGTTTTTCAGTGTTTTTTTTTTCAATACTGGAGATCCAATCCAACAGCTTGTACATGGGAGGCAAGATACATACCTAGCCATTAGGTGTGGTTTCATGTACTATCACCATTTATCTATCTTCTTTGGAGAGAAATTTTAAATGTGTTGCCCATCGCTCAATTTTTTTTTCTGGCCCTACGGCTTGAACTCTGGGCACTGGCCCTAAGCCTCTTTGTGCTCAAAGATAGCACTCTACCACTTGAGCTACAGTGCCATTCCTGGCTTTTTTTGAGTAGTTTATTGGAGAGTCTGACTTTTCTGCCCAGGCTGGCTTCAAACCTCAATGCTCAGACCTCAGCCTCCTGAGTAGCTAGGATTACAGGCACTGAGGCACCAGCACCCAGCAATCACTTAATTTTTAAATTCCTGCTGAGTTATTCCATTTTTTGGTGTACTGGTATTGGGACTTGAACTTGGAATCTCACTCTCTCTCTTGGCTTTTCCACTCAAGACTGTCACTCTACCACTTGAGCCATAACTTCACCTCCCATTATTCACTTTTTAGGAACTCAACAAAACCAGCCCCTCCTGTTTGGGAGCTGATTTAATGTTTTTCATTACAAAGGTGATGCATAGAAAGGTTACAGAGTTACCTAAGTTAGGTAATGAGTACATTTCTTTTAGGCCGTCACTTCCCTTGCTCTCTGCCATCCTTACCAACAAATTTTATAGTTCATTTTC